GTTACTAGAAGCGATGCACTTGTTACTAGTAGCTTCTTATTGTTCCTAGTAGTAAGGCTAGGAGCTTCTAGTTGCGTCCTTGCTCCTAGTAGCGATGCCCTTTGCTCCTAGTAGCTTCTTGTTGCTACTAGCGATGGCCTCCAAACTAAAAGCGATGGCTTTGCACAGATCAACAAGATAAGCAACAAATGGCCGCCCCTCACATACCTCCCATGATGCCCTCGAGGGACTCATACCATAAAACAAGATATGATTTGACCTTTCAGTAGACTCAGTAGACAACCAAAGGTGGGCAGATGGGAAGCTGTTTGGAATGCTTGTCTCACAGATCTCAGGTGTTCTCGAAGCTTGGCATTTGCAAAGCTGAGGAGACCGAGGAATCTTTAGGAACCACGGTCTCCACGGAATGTCATTTTCTGGACCTAACGTGGGTCTGATTTTCCGTGCTCGTCAGGTGCCAAAACAGAGGTCGCACTGTGACCGTCACAGAAACACAAGTTCCGAGTCGCGACGACTGGTTTCTACTAGGTGCCGATTTTCGCAAGGCTCAAGTAGTAAGGCCAGGAGCCCCTAGTAGCTTCTTGTTACTACTAGTAAGGCACTTGTTACTAGAAGCGATGCACTTGTTCCTAGTAGCTTATTGTTACTTGCCGATTTTCGCAATCTGCCGAATTTCATGAAGGTCTTTGACCGACCAATACCCATTAGTATGTAAACACCATCCAGGACTATCCGACTATAGCACTTGTTACATATGACTTGCGCCCCGCATTTAAAGGTGAACACCCATGTGTATTGAATCCCGCAGCGTCTTGGCTTAGCGGCAGGTACATGACACACGAGTTTGATACTTGTGGGTGTGTCTTGTGCCTGTCGTTCAGGCGCGTATACGGGCTCCTCTACGCGCGTGAAGCGACAGGAGCCCTTCAGAGGAAGGGAATCGAGCTTCTGCGGGTGGTCCACTCGCAGTTGCTCGACTATTCGGAAGGAGGCGAGGGAGCTGCCACTCCCGGGCCTCCTGATCTCCCGGTGGAGGGAGACAAGGACAAGAAGAAGGTGGTCAAAGAGGAATCGGAACCTGAGGTTGAGAAGGCCGACGTGAAGAAAGGTGAGGCCCCGGTCGTTGTCCCAGAAGAAGGTCAGGCATCTAGTCCCGGTGGTGGTGGAGAACCTGAGCCCGCCAAAGAGGAAGGCTTGAAAGAGGAGAAGAAAAAGTCTCGCACCACTGAGGAGGAGGACACCGAAAAGAACGAAAAGAGAAAGGAGTCGAAGGAGCGTGACCGTCGTCGCCGTCGTGAGAAGGAGAAGGACACCCACACCGAGAGCCGTGAGGGAGCAGGTCGACGCTCCCGAAGCCGCCATCGATCCCGTCGCCGTCGCAGGAGCAGCCGTGCCAAAAGCCCCGAAGAGGAGGGCCCGTGGCAGCCATTCCCTCTCCCGTAAACGTGAGGGAGAGCGAAAAGGACAAGAAGTCCCCCCGTACACCAAGCCCCGAACCAAGGAACCCATCGCCCAGGGGTTCATTGCCATCCCGTCCATCCGGCCTCGCCAACGCCCAGAAGAGGGCGATACCACCTCCTCCAAAGCCACCTCCAGTCAGAGGCCCCCGAGAGCCAGATCATCCACCCCCTGGCTATTCGAGTTGGGAGGACACCGACGTGCGGTCCAAGTCTTGGGCCTATCGTGAACCACCCCCAAACAAAGGCCGAAAGAAGGACGAGCGAAACACCAACTTCCGCCTGTGGAGGGAGTACGAACAGGGCTACTACAGACAGCCATGCCGCCTCGCCGCAGGCCCGCGGCGATCATGGAAGGCCGTCGAGGGGAGGTTCACCGAGGAGTTCGAGCTGGTGCACTACGCCGTCCAGCCAGGGCAGAGGCAAGAGACCCTCCTGTTCCGAAGGAGGTGGAATGGTTGCCACTCAGCAAGATCACCCTCGGCGAGCTCAACCAGAAGCAGAAGGTGGTTTTGGAGGGTCGCTATTGGAAGTCTCCCGTATTGGTGGCAGGGGAGACTCGTGGCGTGATCGTGAACGAGGCCGATGCTACATGGAGGATATGGGTCACTGGGACCCAGAGCGAGTCGCTGTTGAGAGAAGTGAGCGGCCGTTGCAAAGAGCTGAGGGTCCATGTGTGCCCCGACCCATGCGACAGACTGGTCTGGGCAAAAGATTTGATCCACGGCCTCCGTTACCACGTACAAGGAGATTCAGTGGAAGACTGGTGGACAAACCTGGAAGAAGTTCCTCGCGAGAAGGCAGGACCTCGAGAAGGCGATCCTCTACACCGACTTCGAGAAGAGATGGGAGCCAGAGAGAAGGAGGGAGACTTGCAGTATTCTCCCGAAGGAGTGGAACCTCCCGCTCGCCCAGGGGAGGTGGCCGAGGAGAAGGCCGTGAAGAAAGGAAAGAAGAAGAAGGCCAAGTTGAAAGTGCAGTTGGAGGCGCCCCTGAAAGAAGTCTTCAAGCGCACGGCTTTGGACCCAGATGCGGACGTCCGGGTCGAGCTCATGAGGAAGGCCCGGAAGATCAGGAGAGGAAAGAAGCGGAAGAAGAAAGGCTCCCGTTCTCGAAGCAGAGGTTCCTCACGAGAGGAATCGGGGGAGTCGACCGAGAGTTCAAGCTTGGGGGAGAAGCGCATCGCGACATCGGAGCTCTTCGAGAGCGAACGACGATCCTTGCGGTTGTGGCGCCGTGTTCCAGGAGCGTTGACCCATGCAGCCATCCTGGACATGCAAGAACAGATGTTGACCGCCCACGGCTACCAGAATCGTCCAGTTGCGGAGGGAGCGGTGGCTCCCGTGGTGGCACAGTATTTTCGGGCCCATCTGCAACCACACATGGGAGGAGCACTAGCCCGGGAATCACTTCATTTGGCGACGATTGTGAACCTACGCTTGCGAGGCCGCATTGCGGCCGCGTTGGACGTGGCCAGTCAACGACTGAAGGCCCTCCAGGCCATTGCAAGAGGTACAACCACAGAAGTCGCCAGGCGACTGGAGTTGGTAGGAGCGGACCGGCCGTCCCTCCTGACTACACCGGAGGCAGGAGAAAAGCAGGGCGAGAACTTCAGGCGGAGGATCGAGTTTTCCGCCGCAACACAGGTCGCTGGCATTGGGAAGCGCGAGATTCCTTCAAAGGTGGCAAAGGAAAAGACAAAGGCAGGCGAGAGAAGGGCAAAGGAGACGGCAAGTTCAAGGACAAGGGCAACAGGAAGGGCGATGGCAAGAAGAAGGAGGACAAAGGCGACAAGGAGTGAAGCGGTGTCCGACCAGTGAAGAGCTGGTCAATGAAGAGGGAGAGCTCGCGCCGGGGAGGCGCTCTCTCCCGAAGAAGAGACGATCAAAGTTGGGGCAATCTATGGCCTATGAGGGTTCCGAGGAGTTTCACGGAGCGCAGGGTCGCTCTTTGGCCCGGTCTACGTTGGCAGGCGTCGCTGGGCCCACGGCGCTACGAGACCAAGAAGTACTGAGTGTGCATTCATTGTTGAGCTCCCGTGCTGAGGGAGCAGAGCTTGGTGACAGCTTAGGCGTAGGTCGAGTTGTTGCCGTCGATGAAGTGCCAGCCAAAGGAGCAGAAGACATTGGCACTTGCTCCGTCGTACCGGCGGGAACGTTCCCGAAGAGTGGGAGCGAAGTTGGGTCAGCCGCTAGTGTACAGAGAGGTGTGGCACCGAACAGCTTCCAGCAGATCATGTCCATGGCCAGGTCTATGCTCAGTGAGTTGAAGAGTCAGCGCATGCAGAACACGGTAGAGGATTCACCTTTCATGCCTGATGATATTTTCCCAATACCTCTACCCCTGGATCCATGGCCTAAGTCGAAGCTGGCATGTGCGGACATGACCTACGGGCTGAACTTCTATGCCTGTGGTCAGGGCGATGGACCCCGACCGAAGCGAGAGCCCGGAGGGTTGGTGGAAAACCTGGGAAGGCTTTGTGAACGTTTCAAAGTGTGGGAGGAACCAGTGAACGAGTTGGATTTCCGAGATTTTTTCGCCAAGAGAGGGGTGACATATGATGGGGAAGAAGTACGGGTCGCTCAGACATTGACTTGGCGTGGTGTCCAAGGGTCTCTACCAGATGAGGTTGGTCGTTTGGAGTTGCAGGACTTTTGCACCCAGGGTACCCTGCATTACATTGACCATTTTGAGGAGCACCTTCTGGATACCACACACATGACATGTCCTCGTGCCCCCCGTGTCATGGTAGGGGACGATTGGCCGTCGATCTGTGAGGGACTCATCGAGAAGAAGATTTGCGACATCGCCCCCATCGACCAGCTCTTCCACATCGGCCAGGCGCCTTTGCTGAACGGTATGTTTGGGGTCGGCAAGGGCGAGTTTATAGGGGAGATCGAAACGCAACGACTCATCATGAATCTCATCCCGCTCAACCAACTCTGTGAACCTCTCGTGGGAGACGTAGTAACTCTCCCGAACATTAGCAGCTTTGGGACGTTCCTATTGGATGAAGGTGAGGTGGCATTGATCTCTTCAGAAGATGTGCGTTGTTTCTTTTATTTGTTTAAGGTACCGCCAGAGTGGAAGAGATTCTTGGGGTTCAATAAGCGAGTACCGGATTCGTTGGTGGCGTCGAAGTGGAGGGATCGCCCCTGCGTGCTTACGGCGTGCGTGTTGCCTATATGGGATTCATCAATAGTGTATCAATTGCGCAGCATGTACATCGGAATATAGTCACTTGGAGCCAGCAAACTCCCGGAGGTCTTGGAGGGGAGTGTGAAATGCGGAAAGACCGAGTGAGCAGTTGTTCAAGTGCGCAGTACAGGGTCTACCTTGACAATTTTGATTTGGTTGAAAGGCTCGATCCCCCCACGGCTCAAGCCCTCAGTGGCCAAGTGGCTGAGGTGGTGCAACACTTGCGCGCCCAATACGGTGCTCAAGGGATCCCCCGACATCCCAAAAAGGCAGTTGAAAGGTCAGGAGTGGCGGAGATCCAGGGCGCGATTGTTGATGGCCTGGAAGGGTTTGCCCAGCCAAAGCCGAGCAAGGTGATCTTGTATTGTCAGCTGGCATTGATGTTGGTACCATGTGACTTGCAGTGATGCCTCTACAACGGGTGGAGGTGTGTGTGTCAGTGAAGGTTTGACCAGCTATGGGATGGCCGCATTGAACTCCGAGAGCCAGGGTGATCTCCCGATGGAGGGAGATACCTTCCAGGTGTTGTCGGTCGGGTTGTTTGATGGGCTTGGAGCTTTGCGCCTAGCATTGGACAGTCTGGGTGTTGCAGTCGCCGGGCATTTGAGTGTGGAGAAAGAGGGGACAGGGAGAAGGGTCGTAGAAGCCTTCTTCCCCGACTCCATTTTTCATGACGATGTCAAGACAGTGGACATGGAGATGGTCAAAGGATTGGCTTTGCGGTTCCCGTCCGTTTCGTTGGTGTTGCTTGGAGCCGGACCCCCCTGTCAGGGGGTGAGTGCGTTGAACGCTGCGAAGAAGGGCGCTCTGCGAGATGAGCGAAGCTGTCTGTACCAGGAGGTCCCCCGCATACAGAACTTGTTTCGCCAGGCTTTCCCATGGGCCCAAGTGCGGTTGGTGATGGAGTCGGTAGCTTCAATGTCGAAAGGCAATCGTTGCATTATGAGTGAGGCGGTGCAGCTGCTCCCCTTTCGCATTGATGCTGCAGGTATTGGACTATGCCACCGGCCTCGTCTCTACTGGGTAGACTGGGACCTACAGTAGGGGGAGGGAGTCACGTTGACACCTCCCGCGCAAAGTACCGGATGGCAGGGTTGTGGCGCAGTCAACTTGAAGGAGGTCAAGTCGGAGGCATTCCTGGAGCAGGGTTGGTCCGTGACGGAAGGTTTTCGACTGCCGACATTCGTGACCAGCCGGGATTCCGACCAGCTGGACGAGACCGTTGCTCACCTCACGAACTCCAACGATGGGAGGCGGATCAGTACAGGTTCCCACCATACCAGTACCGTGACCACAATTTGCTCTGGACTCGTAAGGGTGCCGCACGACGACCTAACGTGCATGAGAGGGAGGCCACCCAGAGGAGCATTTCCTAGAGATCACCCCAGGATAGAACCATATCCTAGGCATCCCCCCCTATCCCAGGAATCCCCCCCAAGGAATTAGGAGGTGAAGCATCTCAAAATCCAACATATTAAGGCTTCAGTACTCAACCAACTTGACAATAGCAAAAACCAACAACTGTCACACGCGCACACAGGTATTTTCCACAAACCACATCCAAAGCTCAAGCACTCTCACGTTTGCGACCTAGCAAAAATTCATCTACAAAACTCTACAAGACAGAAGCAGTCCCTCAAAGCTGAGAAGCAGACCACATAGAACATGTAGAACATGATACACACTGTTGTATAGACATGCTCATGTACATGTCCATGGGCCATGCTTTTGCAGGAACATGCTATACCTCATGCCTCATGTCTCATGGCCTCATGCATGGAGGAACAGACCTACAGGACCATGTAAACTTCCCTACAGTTCCTAATCATATGAGGCCCCAGCGCACCAACTCATCAGTAGCCTCTTGAAGGATTCTCTTCAAGCCTGGCAGCGCCCACCACTTGACACCTCATAAACACACACACATACAGCCCCAGACCTGTCAAATATCTCTTCAGAGTACTGCTCTGGGTCGTTAGCTTGTGCGTCTTTCGAGCTATAGACATGATCAGCTTAAGCCAACCCTCATCAAGCCACGCGCTGCTAATGATTGGATTGCGCTTCTGCTCCAAGGTGCTGTCCAATAGGTGGACAAGTATGTGCAGCTTTGGTCGAGGGTTAAACAATTTGTATGTACCGCGGTTGACATAGTGCTGGTGCAAAGCTAAATAGAGTTGGACAAACAGCATGCCCACTGTATGAACCTGATCTGCCTGGCCTTGCGTCAAGAACAAAGAATCCTGTCGAACTTCGTGCACCAACGAAATGAAATTGTTTGCTGCCCAGACCAGCGTTTTGACATCATCTTCAAGAGTAACCTGGTGGTTCTCAACCAGGTACGCTAGCCACTGCAGGATGACGCCTGTTTGCCAGCCCTTGCCACAAAAGTGGACGTACTTATTTGACTTCAATCCCAGCTTGGCACTGGAAAAATGCCAGCGTGGCCCAAACCTGTATTTGGTGTTGGCCTTTGCCCATGTTTTCAGTTGATTGCTCGCATTCTGCATCCTCAGTGCAACCTCAGAAGTCAAGCTACCCTAGGAATTGTCATTCTGTCAGATTCACAAATGTGAAACTAAACAAGAAAGTAGAAACCAAAAACAACTGCCCAGCCCAGGAACTCTTGACCCAGGAAAGAATTGCGTCTTTAGCAGCAAAGTCATGACAGACGCTGCCACATCCCTGCCAACACCTAAATGCCATATGTGTAAGAGGTCCATGCCCACAGAAGACAATATACTAAAGTTGTGAAGGTCAACGAGACTTGGAACCTCACTTGCGTCCCATGGTGGGGGAGCAACGTCCACCCGCCAGCGGGCTCCAGCACTTATGTCCGTGTAGGGCTTGCTTAGATCTTTTGTTGCCAAACATCGCCAGCACACTTCATTGCGGCCAGGATGTCGGGCAAGGTTCAGACTCTGGGTCATGAACTTAATATCACCTTTTAATGTAGTCACCTCTCCAAAAAGCCCATCAACACCATGCAAGGCAAAGGTGTTGAAACTCAGAACAATTTGCTTCAAGAGCTCCTGCACCGTCTGATTGCATCTCCCTTCTTTCCAATAATAGCTGGTCGGAATGCACGCTATGAGAAACCTGCTTTTGGCTGCATCTTTCTGAAGCGGTGACACTTCAGACATCCAGTGGAAGCACATCAGCTGTGTACCTTGCCACGCCTGACATTCATCTCCATAAAGATGAAGAGGGAGGGTTTGCAAAGATGGTGGCTTTGGTCTGCCACAATTCAGCTCCATTGTTTCCCAGTACCCCTTTGGCGTGTGGCCAAGCACATCACGATGACCCGAACGTTGAATGACTGCAGCCTGAGAAAGGAAAAGGACACAATGCCATACACATTGAAAAGGCAAAGGCCCTGGCAAGTTCATGTGGCTTGATCATAGGCCACTCTCTCAATTCATATTCGCCATCTTCATTGCAAATTGGAAGCTGGACATGTGAAATCAAATCACCAAATGCTAGGTTCGCAGAAGTCAACCTTCTGTAGCACCTATCGTCTTTCACAGCAGAAGGCCTGAAAAAATCAGAGGTGCATTCAAGTGATCAGAGCCACATTGACTAAGAGCAAGGCCCAAAAACTGTGCTACCATAGCTTTGTCCCACTCTGACTGCCGAGGCCAGTGTAGCCTGACCTTTGCCAATTTCTGCAGCCAGCCTGCCACATCAAAGCAGTAGACTTGTACAATTCACAGAAGTCATGGAGGCCCCAGACACTTCATCCAAAGATCTTCTCAAGCTAAAGGTACCGGATGTACCTGTTCTTCTGGCCAGTGAGAACACAATGTTGAAGAGCAAAATGAGCAGGTGGCTGAGCACATTCACGCAAACAGATCCTGCTTCTAAAGCACACCAATGTATCAAAACGGCGTGTCCTACGTATGGCAAGATGTTCATCACCTTGCAACCCCGAAATGAGTGAACAAATCACTTCAGATCTCAGCAGCACCCAGGCCACAAATTTATGCAGCATAGCCCCTGGCCCAGAGCGCAAACAAAAACACACACTCACATGACTCCACCAATTGAGCCAGGAGAACTTGCGAAGCTCCTTCAAGATGGCCTGCAGCTCCGCCCTCTTGAGGCGACTTGCTGCCACCTAAGCACAGCTACAGAAATTTCATATCATGGCTTGAACACAAATTTTGAGACACAGACATTCGAAGCAACTGTCCCCACGAGCTTATTGAGTTCCTCCTTGTCTGTGTCCCGATTCAGCCTGCAAATTTCAGAGAACCCAAAGACAACAAACAATGTTTAAAAACCAGTCCTTGCATGGTCACCCTTCACGGTAGTAATGTGCATCTCAATCTCTGCACGCTGAGACTGCATCTGCTCAAAATCCGTGCTGTCCAAATGTAAGGCATTGAGAGCTGTAAGCTCTTTCCGCACCTCACCACCTTAGATGAGTTGAAAAACATACATAGTCATATCAAATGCCATCTTCAGAAAACACCAAGGCAGGCACGAGCAAGGGACACCTTCTCGTCCAAAGTTTTGCCAGCCAGCGCCATCTGAGACAAAGGAGCACTCTTGGGCTTGGGTTTTGCCTTTGCCACTCCACCGCCCCTTCCTGAAGCAATTGAACATTGCACACAAATGACACACAGTGAGCGCAAACAAAATCCAGTTTATTCTCACACAAGACTAAGCTTCGAGGGGTTGCTTTTGCTTTTGCATCAGGTGCAGGGCTTGAAGCAGCTGACTCTGGCTGGACCAAGGCTAGCTGGTTCCTGACCATGCCCACTGGGTCTGGAAGGCTGACAGAGGGAGCAGACACATCAGGAGCCATGGTCAAGGTCGGAATCAAATCTTGAGGCCTCACCTGTGCCTGCACTTGTGCAGACATGGTGGACCTGTCCGTTGAGCTCTCACTGGTCGAAATGGAACACCAGAAGCGCATACTGGCTTCATCACCAGGAGCATCTTCATCTGGAATTCCACCACGAGCAACACAAGCCGCAATCTTTGCCCTGGTAGAAAATAGCATGAACAGAAACAACAGCCATGTAACATTTACTCACAATGCATTTCACCCAGGCACGCTGAAAAGTTGTGCTCATTCATCTGGCGAATAGTCAGCAAGGCCCTGTTGCGGTTCACCTCCTGCTCCTGGGTCTTTGTGACAGTAAAGCTGGCCTCAGCATTCTCCAAATGCTCACCAGCATCCAGGAAGCGCTTGAGAGCCTGACGCTTCTCAAGGGTTGTTCCACTGAACATCTTGGCAAGCTGTGGGTAGCTTGCTGCCCGTGGTCCTTTGGCAACACGCTCCAGAAGCAACCACTGTTTCTTGTGGCTTGAGGACGAGGGCAGCTCTGCAGGTGGGCCCATATCACCTGGCTGCCTCTCACCCACAGCTGGACCAGGTGGAGGCACAGCTGGAGAGGCGGCTGGTATAGTAGGAGGCGCCAGTAGCTCACCAGAACGCACAGGGTCCACATGTTCCCCTGTAGGTGCTTCTGGTACTTCCTCTTCATTCCTCAAATATGCCAGAAAAAGGTTCAGCAAAGGCTTATATATATATATATATATTCACACCTCTGTGACACCATCCCTGAGCTGCGTGAGCCCCATGAACAGCATTGGCATGAACCACATGAACAGCATGAACAACATGAACCACATGAACATATGCCCATGAACCATACATGACCATGAACCACATGAACATGCACCACATGAACATACACCACATGAACATGAACCACATGAATATGAACATGCATTGTGCAAACATGGCATGAACAGCTATTAAGGCCCCAACTCACGATACATAGGCGTTTCCTCATCTTGAGACGCCAAATCAATCTCCACAGTGGACTTCCCACGCACCATCTGCTGGCCACGAAGCAGTGTTGCAATGGACCTGCCCCAACAAAAAGCACAGCAGCTCTGCAAAGACCAACCCAAATCAAAAGGCACTCACAACAAGCAGTTAGCCTTGCCTGTGGGACTCCTTGGGAAACAATGCAGGAGCTGATGGCAATGGAGAACGTGACTGCGATGGTGGAACCACATCCTGGTCTTCCAAAGGTACTGTTTCATCCTCTGCCCTGCAGTAGGCTCGGTGAACAACTGCTCCACATGTTGTTCAAACGCATCTAGCTGGGTTTCTTCATCGACAGCGACCACAGCACTTGGTGGGGTTGGTGTTTCAACAGCCATAGGAGACTTTGCCTCTGCAGGTGTCCCAGAAGAAGGTTTCCCTGCAGGTTCCTGAGTCTCTTCCTGCACAGGTTTCTCTGCAAGACTCTCTGCAGACTCAGGCTTCTTCTCAGCAACCTTCCTGGCCCTCTTGGGCGGAGGGGGGACTATCTCCTTGAGCTCTGCAAGAATCTCTTTGGCTGTGTCCATCGAGATGTCACAGGTCTGCGCCAATTGCTTGGCCGTTGGGGCACGACCACCGTTCTCCTGCTGCAGCTCCTTGAAGAGCTCAACAAAGTGCTCTGTCAAGGCAGCAGACAGCTCTGTGTAGGCCAGCTTGAGGTCCAAACAGTCTATATAGCATGTACACTATGATTTCTACCAAGTGTACACTCTCCACTGAACAATGCCAGAAACATGCCTTCACAGAGAGCCTGGGAGGACCAAAAAAAATTCTCGGGGGATCTCGGGGATTCACGGGTCTATCTCGGGGAAATCTCGGAAATTTCTCGGGTCTTCTCCCGCCTCACTTTTTTCAGCCTAAAAGCCGTACCCTGAGCATTGTAATTAAAATTCATGCATTTCAGTTCACCTAAGTCGGTGGGTCACTGTTGCCCATGCTTCTGCAAGAGGCCGCGCCCATTGCTCATTTGGTGTAAAACTCCTGCTTGCTCTCAGGTAACGAATCACACCCACCACATCAGCCTTGGATGCTACGCATGGCCACAATGCACACACACAGCACACTTTGGCTCAGGCATCACACCATAGATCAATGGTCCGCCAATTAATCTCCTCAAGCACCCAGCTGACATTACAGCAGAGCACAACACAAGTCAGAGCCCTTGTCCTCAAAAAGCTCCAGGTCTGTCTTGGCAAAGTCAACAGTATGGGGGTGTTTCCTTCCAGGAAGTTCCTGCCACACAATGCAAATTAACAGACTCTACACCCCCACAAACAATCCCCTACCTCCCAATGCACTTCTCCCATCTCCCGCTTTAGCTGTGCCAAGTGCCAGCCAAACTTCTCATGGTATGCCCTCAGCGAAGCCGCGCACACACAGGGCACACACGCAACACTCTAGGTTCATATATTCATAGCAGCCAAGACACTGGCTTGCAGACATTGTCTTCTTCACCCCAGACCAGACCAGCTTACCATCAGCGTTTCTCTTTCGAGTGGTCAAGGCAGGCCCCGAAAGTTGAGCCAGCTGATCAGCAGTCATCCTCCCAGCAACATTAAAGATGCGTTCCAGCATCATCCGATCATTGCTGTATAGCCAGTGCCTTTTAGGTGTGCTTTGGCTTGGGTCAGAGCTGTAATAGCCACCCCACATTCCAGACTTAAAGATAGTGAGGCCCTGAAAGACTTCATCAAGCCTGGGATGCAACTCTGCAGCCGAGTGCTGCGGCTGCTCCAGCAAGATTCTCATGGCCGAGCTGACAGCGTACCAAATCACTAGCGCCATCCTGGATGCCAACTTGTTTCCTTTTGCAACAAAGGCCAAGGCCATGTTGCCCAATGGGAAAAGCACCGAACGCTGATGTGAAGCACAGCACCTGGGCCACCCATAACTATATAAACACTCAGACTTGTTTATTGAACCAAGCAGCGGCCGACAAAAAGAGTTGCAAGCCAGCGCAATGACTATCAGAGCTCCCGCTTTGGCCCTGCGGACCATTTGTAAGCACAGCCTCATTCACTCAGCGATCTAGTGCCCTCACAGTTTTAGGATTATAAGGTGAGGACGCAAAGCCACTTGGCGTAAGGAAATCAAATGTGTGGTCATCATCAAGGTTGAGGTCAAGCTCAACTCCACAGAAGCCTGCCTCATGCAGTCCAAACTAGACCTTGACTTGAGGATCAAGTGGAACAGCTCAGGCCAACACTTTTCTCATCTGGGCACTCACTCTCCCACAGCCACTGAACAACTCAACAAAGTCATACACCTGGGAACGCAAAAAATCGAAACAAACATACAGTTTTCCCAGCAAACAAGCTCAGCTCAAGGCAACAGAGTCCTTCAACTCTGGAGTGGCAACCAGGTGTAGGATTGCAAGGATTAGGATAGGGGGACATCTTCAGCAACTACCATGGTTACGTACACAGAAAACAGCTTTGAGCAAGTAAAGCTTCAGCATCACAACTGTTCAAAACAGCAGACCATGACCAGCAGTTCCAGAGTGAGCTGCAACTTCTCCACTGCGTGTTTTAGCTGCAGTCTGGGCAAGCGGTCAAAACCACTGTACAATGAATTTGTTTTACACAAACCTGCGCTTTTTCATTTCCGCATAAGGCATACCTTCTAGAAAGGATGCCCTTTGCGCAGAAAGCATCCATTGTGCGCAAGCCTCCCTGTAGCCAATCTTCTTTTCAGAGCGGAGGGAGTTGATGAATTCTGTCTGGGCTGCCTTGAACACCTTGGGGGTATAAGAGCAGAGCACAGGGGTCTCACTAGGTCCACTGTCAGGCAGTGGAGGCTTTGCAGCAGACTCATCCTCCAGCGCAAGAGCCTTTTCTTCTTCAGGCCCAGCAAGCTCTCGCTGCTTTCTAGGCGCCTTTGACTGTTTTTTGGCCTTGGCCTTTGGTTTGCTCTTTGGTTTCTTTTCAGGCTTTGGTCTGTCTTCACCTTCTTGAGCCTCACCATCTTCTTCACCTGTTTCAACCGTGGCAAATGGCTGGACAGGTGTTTTTCTTTTGCAAGTCTTTCAAAGACTGAAGCACAAAGGGCGGCGCAACATGACTTGGCCGACATGGCGTAGCAACAGGTCTCATCTGTCCATTGTTTTCACTTTCAGCTTTGCTGTCAGCATTGCCCCGCAAAGCACGCAAAGCCTCCTGAGCCTTGCCTTCATTAGCTCCAGCTACCTGTTTTCCAGTAGCTTCAGTTGCCTTGTGTTTTGCAACAACTGCAGCAAGAGCGCCCCAGTCAAAGCCCTTAGGCTGAATTGCCTCCACATCCTCTGCAGAAGCCTCTCGTTTTAGATTGGGTTTTTCATCACGGTCAGGCGCCACACCAGCATCCACAAGCCTTGCCTTCAACTTCTTCAACATATCATTTTTTGCGTTGTGTGGAGTTTCGAAGAAGAGCGGCCTGAACCTCTGCACCAGCTTGCGACTTGCAAAGGCCATCTTAGCACACCAGGGTTCTAGGGCAACTCTTTGCACACCTGTGGGGATCAAATTCTCAATCTCATAGAACTTGAGGATGGCATCCCCCAGCACAGCTTCAGAGAGTTTCTTGTGTGGAGTCACTGAGACAATTGCAAAGACCACCTTCAAGAAATGCAGCGCAGCCACAAAAACACAAAAACAAAGACAGAAACAGGATCCCAGGTCCCACCTCTGGGTTCAGGGCCACATCCTTTACCGTGGCAGCCAGTTTCCCAAAGAGTCCTTCCGAGTGAGCCGACACAAAGCTCCAGCCAACCTGGAGCATACATGGTTAAGAGAAAACTGGAAAATGTGATGAGCCAAAGCTTTCCAATTTCAATCCTGGCCTGTTTCAGTTTCGGCTCAGCGTTAAAGGCAGCCACATACTTGTCCACTAGCTCTGGGTCTTCCGACAATTGCTTCAAAAGTTTCCCCATCTTTACGACAGAGCTAGCGCACTGCTTGCACTGCTTGAACAACATAGGCATCGCCAACACATATTATACAGTATCAGTCATCACTAGCACTCCACAGATCATGGGGCACTGCAGGATCCTGAGTCCCACCATCGGTGCTTCGAAGAGACCTGACAGTCTTTAGCACAGCCCTAATGAACAACAGTGTTCAGTACCATGGCACATGACACATGAACACATGACCATGATGCGTGACACATGAACATGAAACCGTGATTTCACCAAGATCACCCCATGAATCCCCAAGAAAATCCATGAAACCCATGAACCATGGACATGAAGCATGGGCACGAACCCAGCAACAACATGACACCATGCATGCCATGGACAACCCCAAGGTTCATCAGGCAAGGCCTGCGTGGAATCCAACCATCTCCCTGCCAACACAAGCAAAAAAAACGCACACAAGACAACAACTACACCCACAGGGCCACACCTTGTACAGATCAACCAGGCTCAGAAACTCTAAGCTTAAGAGCAAGACTCAGTTCCTGACGCTTTTTCTTCACAAATGCGAGGTCAGCAGCCTGATCAGCACATGAGTCTCACAATGCAGCTTGCCACAAGCCTATCAAAATTGAGCCCCTCACACTAGAGCTCACCAAGTTCTGCAACTCACCACCTGCGGAGAAAAGTTAACTGCCTGAGTAGCAGGTTGAAAATATTCCACCAGCCTGCCATAGCGCTCCCAGGGCCAGCGAAAAGGTTGAGGAGGTACATTGACTCGGTGAAGGTTCCCATCTGCAAACCTGGCAAAGGTAAAATCAAAAAAATATTCAAGCCTCCATATGTTTACACCTCAACGAAACTTCCTGGCGTCTCCACCATATAGCACTAGGCCCAGAGGGCTTTGGCACTGGGACTGACTCACTGCCAGGGGCTCCAGATCGTTTTGGCAGGGGAGCTGGCTCACTTGGCTCAGGCTCACGTGGATTTGGCAAAGGCTCACTTGGCTCACCTGGTTCAACCTTTGGTTCCTTCTCAGTTGATCTTGGCATGGGAGGTGGGAAGGGAACCTCTTCAGCACAAGGTCCTTGCTGAGAGCTCCTTGCTGGGGCTGGTCTGGCTTTCGCAGCTGGCTTTTTCGCAGCCTCTCCAAAAGCCTGCCAAGTTCGAAGGAAAAGAAAAAACAAGTCTGCTAATATATCACTGGCCTTTGTTTCTTCCTCATCTTCACGCTTCAAAGTGTCCAAGTATGCCTTTGTGGGGTAGGCTGCCTTGGACCTTGCAGCCACCCTGGGGTCACGCACCTCCTCCTCAGAGGCAATGTTTAAACACATCAAAGAATTCAAACAATGTGTCCAATCTGTGTGCGCCCAGCCTCTATAGGTCTTTTCTTCTGAACATGAACATGAACCTGGCACAGACACACATAGCTCACAGCACTCCAGAGATTCTGTACAAAGGAAACCCTCCACACTGGCCTTCTCATCTTCATCTTTCATTTTCTGCCTTCTTGCTGGCTTTTGAGCCGAAGAAGCTTCTGGGTAAACACGTGGCTGGTTTTAAACTTTCATGGTTTCATCAATTCCATGGTCATGCCTCATGCCTCATGCCCATGCAACACACCTCCATGAACGCATGAACATATGAACACATGAACATATGAACCCATGAGAAAAGCATGTTTCGTGATTACATGAACACATGAACATATTCTGGTCTGAAAACATGACCAATCCTAACCCCTATGGTTCACACATCCACATGTGCAGCAATGAACTATCTATTGCATCAGTGGCCCTCTGAGGTCTTGACCACCAAAGCCACCCGGCTAGCTCACCCACACCCAGATTCGAGCAAAAACAGCTGCAAGATGCGCAAAAGCTTCACTCAGAGCCTTGTTTGTGCTCCACGTCTTGCACACAGAAACCATCCCTTAACACACAAAACACATTTCAAACATAAAAACCTACACAAAACCCTGGGGGGATTCCTGGGATGGCAGGGCTATTCCTACGATTTGGCCATTTCCTAGGCATCACCCCCCTACCTGGCATCCTAGGAATCATTCCTAGGAAATGACTCTCTGGGCATCATGGGGCTGCCAGTCGGTTACACTAGACCATGTCTCCCGGAGGCAGAACAGACTGGTGCCAAGTGGGACGACACCAGGCTAAGCTTGATTGGGAACTCCTGGCACGTAGGAGTCGTAGCGTGGTTGTTGGAGCAATTGCTTGGCCCTCTGGGGTTTTGTCGTCGACAGTCAGTGCAGGAGATCGTTGATTACTTGACCCCTGGAGGTAGCAGGACTCTACAAGGAATGTTGCTGCGTCCGCCTCTGATGTCGACAAAGCGTTTGGTAACGAGCCTGGAGAAGCCGTTGTTGTTGAAACTGTTGGGCTTGGTCTCTATGAAGGGCGAAGATCTTATGGTGACTGCGGCCAGTGAACCACAGGTCAAGTTCCATCGCCTACGCTCCAGCGTGCCTGGAAAGTTGTGGAGGTGGAAAGAGGTGACCGGTTGGCAATGGCGGCATGCCGGAGAGCACATTAATGTGCTTGAACTCCGAGCCATTCTCACCACCCTGCGTTGGTTGGTTGTTCGTCGTGGAGCTCATCGCCGTCGCTTCCTTCACCTAACAGACAGTCTGGTGTGCCTGCATAGCTTGTCGCGTGGTCGGACTTCGTCCCGGAAGTTGAGGCATGTCTTGAAGCGTGTCAACTCCTTGATCCTTGCTGCTGACCTACACCCAGTGTGGGGGTATATCCACACTTCCCAGAACCCTGCGGACCGCCCTAGTCGGCGGCCGCTGCAACGCAAATGGGGAAAGTGAAACAGCACTTAGAAGGTCACAGCAAGGAGACTCGAGCACGAAACCGACAAGCTTTAGGCACTTTGAGAGAGCTCACAGTACAGCCACAGACCCGGAAACGTTACAGCCAAGCCAAAAACAGGTTCTATGACTATGCCAAGTCAAATGGGTTGACCATACCAACCAACTACACCGCTTTCGATGACATGTTAGCCGACTATGTGGAGCACTTGTGGAGTGCGGGAGAGGGGAGAGCGCTAGCAAGCGATACGGTCGCTGCCTTTCAGGATACAGAGCCTCGGTTGAAGGGCAAACTCCAAGTGACCTGGCGGTTGTTGAAGACGTGGCACGTAAATGAGGTGCCAAGTCGTGCTCCGCCTCTCCCGGAGGAATGCCTCTTCGCAATGCTGGGATGGTGCTTATTCCACAAGGAGTACGCGTTCGGTCTGAGCCTTTTGCTGGGTTTTTATGGATTACTGCGCACGGGGGAGATTCTCGGGCTTTGCAACCACCATGTCTTGATGACATCTCCCGATAAGCCTGCAGTGATTTCATTAGGTCTGACCAAATCCGGCAAACGCGCTGGAGCAGCAGAGAGCGTTACCATTTCTGTCACGTGCGCTTTACACTGGCTTTGGGCCTGGAAACGCACATCTCCTGCACACAGCCCTCTAACCCCGAAACCTCATGCATGGAGGAAGACTTTCAGTGAGTGCATCAAGGCGTTGAACCTTGAAGAATTCGAGTTCCGCCCCTACAGCTTGCGTAGGGGGGGCGCCACGTTTTGGTTCGGGCGCCACGGATCTCTCGACAGGATCATTGTCCTTGGGAGATGGGCGGCAGTTAGAACTGCCCGCCTTTATATCAATGAGGGTCTTGCTTTACTGGCCACTTTAAAGGTCCCTAGGAAGTCCATCCTTCCGTTCGTTCGCACGTTTCACCAGCATGACCTTACCAAGCTTGCACAGACGCTTGAGCGTGCTAAAGCAGGTTA